CAAGCCAAGAGGAGAAAAGGAAAGGAAAAGAAGTCTCAAAGAAACTCAAAAGTCAGTGAAGTGAGTTTTTTTTTCCATATGAAAAAGTAAGTAATTTCTAACTTGGGATAAATAAATTATTCTGTAGTCTTTTTTTTTTTAGTATAATGACTATAAAACAAAATACAAAACATCCTCACAGAATATTTGTTTAGCAGAAGGTGGAAGAGTTGAAAACTACTACACAAGTAAGTTTCTCAAGGTCTAATGATCTGTTTGATCAACTACTAGATTTCACTTTCCATCCAATGATTATTTGAATTTTTATTACATAGATTAAAATCAAATTAGAAGAAACGCTGGATCCTCGGGCTTTTCTACAATCTCCATTGTTCAGTATTATGACTATTTCCAAAGCAGTCTGGAAAAAAAGTATGTGACTAATGTCAAAATCAATTTTTCTCTCGCCGCCATGTTCTGATAAGGTCACTGGGACTCATCTTGGCACTGTAGCCCTTTTTTCTCCTGCTCATAAGTTCTGTCTATATCAGTCTCCATCACTCAAAGCACTGAATACTTGTCAGTAATAATATCAGTGATAACTTGAATTTTTTTTTAATTAGAAAAGTACTTGAGATTGGCAGTAGAGGACTGCTACAGTCATTGTTCAAGGGTACATTATTGCAGAGGCCTATTCATACATGATCAATACAGCAGATATGACAGAGATTAAACAGAGATTCATCTCAACGAGCCAAGAATATGATCGATATTACTTATTTTCTTTATTTAAACAAGCAAAAATACTGAAAACAACCTAATTTACAATTTACATGATATATCTTTTGCAGAATGTCTATAGAATAGGAATCATCCTGTTCTAACTTTGAGTCAGAGCGCACAACGGCTTTGGAGCTAGCATTAGCAGGTGGATAGTACCTTGGGTGAGTTTCAACAAATGCCATACATAAACTACTAAGCGACACATAGAAAATATGAAAAGCAATCTGAAGAAATAAGCTTTTATTTATTTATTTACTTGTAAATGAAAATTGTAATGCACCAAGTGTATGTACTGTGCACCATACACACTAATGAAAAGCCGGGGCTGTTAAAAGTCTAACAGACTAATACAATGAAATGATTATTCTTGAGCCGTCCTATTCTTGAATTGTTAGATTATGTTGCCTGTGGTCACGTTCAGTAAAGCCTGTTTCCCTGGCCTTAAATTAAACTGATTTAAATGCTCGATAAGCATCGCCTCTTCAGCTGTGATCTTATCATCCATCCCTTCCACTTCAAAATGGGTCAGTGTATCATCGCTGTGATATTAAAGGCATTTGATGTGGGCTGCAAAATGTGACATTTCACTGCTGTGTTTACAGTATATTTGACTAAAACCCAACCGGCTCAGATATTTGGGTGTTTTTGTCATTATATGGTGCAAACATTCAAAAACTGTAACATATTTACTTGTGAATCGAGACTAGTGCAAGAAGGCCACTTATTGCTCATTCTGTACAATAGTGTCCATCCATCTGAAAGGGAATTAGTTATCACGGGCCTGCAGGGAGCCTTAACAGAGTTTTGTTTCAGAGAATGGCATACCAGAAGCTGCTTTGTGTTTGCTAAATGAGCAACATCAGAAGTAGAAAGAAGAAACAATGAGAAGACGCAGTGGGAAGTTTCATCTGTAGTGTAAATACATTAGATTTCTTTATTTGAATGGGTTTTTCCCCCCAGTTTTTTCTCCAGCCTGTGATGTTATAGCCTAACACACACGTTGTTTGCAGGTGGTCTCGTGTTTCATGTGATTTAATACATTAATTCTCCTCCTTCGGAATACAGTTCTTAAACAAAAAAAATCCCACATGGACCTAACTTATACCATGAATCTGAATACATCCCTGTGTAAAATCAGTAAAATGCTGAAATAAAAACTTACACAACAGTGTGGTAGTTAGTACAGTATTATACAGAAATCTGTTTACTCTCACGACAGAAGTAAAAGTGATTACACATGTTATTTCTCCTTAAGACTAACCATATGAACAGCCAGCCTTTTTAATTTTAGTTTGTGATGCTCATTTTGCACATTTTTGATAACTGACTGACAGTGTTGGGGAGTAACGGAATACATGTATTTAAAATACAAAATATGAGTAACTCTATTCCGTTACAGTTACCGTTTAAAAGGTGGTATTTAGAATACAGTTACTTTGTTGAAATAAATGGATTACACAGAGGTATTTTCCTGTTTCATATTGTGGCGGGTCAGGACTGTTTGGGTTTTGTTTGACAGCTACGTTCTGTTGTTCCAGACTGCAGGTTACGGTTGGTTACAGGGTGACGCCCTCACTCTGCAATAGTGTGTTTCATGCGGGAGAGAGCGCCTTGTTGTTGTTGTTGTTGTTGTTGTTGTGCTAAGCTAATAGGCAGAATGCTACAGGGGTAGCTCTAAAGAATGTAGCATCATGGTCAGTGTAGTCTGTGCTGCAGGGAGAATGGACTACACGTGTCGATCGTGGATCAAGAGTTGGGAGTTGCCTTGTTATCGGAAGGTTGCTGGTTTGAGCCCTGGCTTGGACAGTCTCGGTCGTTGTGTCCTTGTGCAAGACACTTCACCCGTTGTCTACTGGTGGAGGTCAAAGGGCCCGGTGGCGCCAGTGTCCGGCAGCCTCGCCTCTGTCAGTGCGCCCCAGGGTGGCTGTGGCTACAATGTAGCTTG